GACGTGGCGCCACCAGCCAGGCAAAGGGGTGGGGAGGGAGGCAGGCAGCCCTGAGGGTGGATGGGGAAGAGCAAAACACAGCCATGAAATCATCCATGTGCTGCAGAGGCCCTTTTCTGCAGCTCTGTGCTTGGGGAAACCTCCCCCTGGGGTCCCCTTCCCAAACCCTAGGTCCAGTTGGAAGCACAGTGCAGCGACTTTTCCCCCTTGCTGCTCTCCTTCCCTCCCGTGCTTGGCCAAGTAGGTGCATCCTGGTGGGAGGTTCCCAGCTCTTCAGGAACCCGCTGATGTCCCTGCTCTCTGTCCTGCAGATCACCGCCGGGAAGGACGTGCTCACCAGCATATTCAGTGCCACCGCAGAAACCCTCTCCACTTCCACCACTACCCACGTTACCAAGGTAAGAGCAGCTCCAAAGGGGACGCCTGGGGGGTTTGCCGACGCAAGCCACTGGAATTTGAGGTTGAGTGGGTTTAGATTGGGGATGGTACAGCAGAAAACGTCCCTCTCCTTACAAGCTGAAAAAACATATGCTGTCCCGGGGGAAAACGGCGAGCGAAGTTGGGTGTATTTAGATTGGGGATGGTACAGCAGAAAACATCCCTCTCCTTACAAGCTGAAAAAACACACGCTGTCCCGAGGGGTAATGGCGAGCCAGCGCAGCACCCCGTGCCCTGTGCTGAGCACCCTGCCTGATTCAGCCGTTCTGTGCTGCCTGTCCCAGCCAGCCAGGCGTCACCGCGGGGCACGGCAGGCAAGGACAGCCAGGCGTCGGGTGTTGGTCACCTGCGTACCGCCCACAGGGACTGGGATCACAGGCCGTGCCCCCCTGGTACCTCCCCTGTGGTAGATGGGGAAGGCAGTGAGTTGCAAGGGCAAGAGGGGAGAGCGGTGAATGGTGTCGCTGACCTGAAGCCAACTGCAGGGGTGGAGAGGACTCCAAATCAGGCTGCCAGTTCCTGCCTGTGCCACTGGAGCGAGTGTTCCCACATGTACCTAGAGCCAGACTCCAGGTTCTCCTCGGCCCAAGAATCCCACAGCACCAGTGCTGGAGCATCTTGCCTTGTGTCGGTTGTGGGAGCCACGTTAACGTGGGCTGTATTGGGTTTATTAGAGCTAGAGTGGTGCAGGCAAGGGGCAGAGACAGGAGGAAACGAAGGAGATGCAGCTGCATCAGAGGACCTCACCCATGGCCACTTCGTTCCCAAATTAAGCACACGTAAATGAAATCAGAAGCTCAGTGAGGGACCTGAGCAGGAAGGAAGGAGTGTTTGGTATCTACTACCCGGCCCTTTTTCTTTCCTCCCCACCTGTGGCTGGCTGTGTCTTGAGAGTTCTAACCATGCACTGAGTCAAGGTAGTGGGAGATACTCTGAACTGCAGGGGTGGCTCCTAAGGTGATGCTGACATTGTCCCTCCTCGCGTGGGCAGAGCTACTTCTGCCGGGAGCTGGCTTGTGGGACAGCTGTGGGTGAGTGCTTTCCTTCTTCTTGTGCAGACTGTGAAAGGAGGATTTTCAGAGACCCGAATAGAGAAGCGCATCATTATCACAGGAGATGAAGACGTGGACCAGGACCAGGTAGGAGCAGGGTGCCCTGGCTTTGCCCAGCTCTGGGCTGCCCCTGGCTGCAGCACTGCACACTTCTGGTTCTGCATCACACCTGTTTACTCCTTCTCCTCAAAAACTGACCCCTGAGGCACCAGACCTACCAGCTCTGTGGTGGTGCAGGTGCCCACGGGGTGCAGTGGCACCGATATGAAGCCCCTAGCCCAGCTCCCATCAGCGCCCACTGCAGCAGTAGTAAAGGTTACGTCCCAGCACAGAGCCTGATGATGGGATCACCTTTTTATTTTCCTAAAACACCTCTCCAGTTGCCCTTTCTCTGTTGAAACACTCCAGAGTGACCCAGGTTCTCCCTCTCTTTCTAGCACAGCTTGACTCACTCCCAAGTGATGGTGTTTTGTATCTACCTCCGTGACAGAGGAACAAAAAGAGACAAACTTTTAGGGTGAAATAACAGGGACAGACACAAATCTCCAGGGCCATGGAGTCGCTTTCCTGTGGCCTAACCCTTTGGGATTTTTTGCTCAAGAAGAAGAAACAAAGAGCTCAAGTATTTAAAAAGCTCTAAAATTATTTGTAGGGTATTTTTAGAATTATAGTAATAATTTTAATTAGGTTATTATTGTAGATTTTCTAGGGTTTTGCTGCAGAGAGTTGCCACTGTTCCTTTGTTTAGTTTTCCGTAGGGAGCCTGACACATAGCACACATTTAGAGAAAAAACAGTGAGAGAAAGGCAGTGCACAGGGCATCCCAGTGGTGCTCAAATTCCTGATCAGTGCTGGGCTCCATCCTCTTCTGCCAGGCTACTGTGGGTTCAGCTTTGAACCTCTGCACCCGTGTCCTCCTGGAATCCCACTGGGCTGCAGCTGCTTTCTGTCCCATGCGCTGGCTGCGGCTGGCTGAGGGCAGCGTGCCAGATTTCAGAGAAGAGTCGATGAATGCTTTTATCTTTCTGTTTTCTAGGCACTGGCTTTAGCAATCAAAGAGGCAAAACTACAGCATCCCGACATGCTGGTAACCAAAGCTGTGGTATACAGAGAAACAGAACCTTCTCCAGAGGAAAGGGACAAGAAGCCTCAGGTAGGTGGAGAAGTTCTCAGGTATGATTTCGACCTGCGAGGTGAGGGGTGGGTGCCACTGAGCGAGTGTCTCTGATCCCCACCAGCTGTAGGTGCTGGAGGTGCCGCTGCTCCTCGGCACTAAGAGCTCTCAGCCAGCAGTTCCAGTGTGGTGGTGGCCCCAGGCATGGCCACCTGGTTGTAGTTAGAAAGCTGGTGCCATGCCACCAAAAGCAATTCTGCAGATGTCACCTTGCCGTCCTGCTCAGCAGAGGGGTCAGAATCATTTGCATGCAAAGAAGGGAGGACCTGCTTGTCCCTGTGGGGCAGGGAGGGAGAGAGGTGATACCAGTTTTGTGGAGGGACAGGTTCTGCACAGCCAGTCCAAAGTATCAGGCCAGCGTTTGCAAACAAGAAGAGGTTTCTTCATAGAATCACAGAATGTTGGGGGTTG